TTAAAAACAATGACCAGTTTTTCACTAAAGACTTTAAAGAGAAACTTCAATAATTTTTCAGAAAATTAGAAGGGTACACTATAATTTTTTGTTCCAGTGAAATATGGCTAATTAGGTAACTGTTAATAAGACTAACCAAAAGAGAAAAAGACAGAAAATGTTTGGTACATGTGTGTATATGTATATATGGTATATATTTGTATATGCCATGCCATCTATTATTAATTACTTTTAATAGTAGTGTACTGGCTCTCGACATTTCTCTATCCAACACATCTAGGACCTGACATATTCTCATCTGGAAGAGTGGCCAGCCATTATGCCATCAATTCGCAACCAAAGGGTTGCAAGGGAGGGTCTGCCGCCCAATAGCTAGCTAGATCAGAATGTTGTGGAGGTGAGGCACAGTATATTTAAAAGCTCTGTGACAAGCAGCCCTTTGCCATATACACATTTAAAATCATTGCCGTAATGCTCCCTAACTGGGAATGCAGGAAGATTTATTTGATCACTAAATCTAAAGAAAGGTAAAACCTAAATTCAGAGACATGTCTTATGACCAGAAAAGAAAAATGAATTGAAATCTTCTATTTGAATAAACAGAGAACTATTAAAGTCCATAATTAAAGTCAAATATTTATTGAGCACTTACTGTGGTACTAATAACGATTCATATTCAAATAATGCTTTCCAGTTGATAAAGTTCTTTTACAATAAATATTAACTCATTCTTACCACAACCCTTTGTGATAATTAAGGCAAGTATTCTTATCAGATTCATTTTGCAGATGAAGAAATTGAAGTTTATAGAAGTGACTTGTTCAAGGTAAAATATATAGAAAGTGGCAGAGCCTGCCTGCCCTAGGGAAAAGGTATATGCTGCTGTAAGATGCTACACATTTCATTTGTGAGGGGCATAGGTTTGTTTATCAGAATTTGTCCTAAAAACTTGAAAGAAGTTCTTTTAAAGTAAATGAAAGGAAATAAGTCTATAGTAATAGACTCCAATCACCCCTATTATCTATGGGTTCTCTTCCTTCCCATTCCTTTCCAGTTTCTCCCACCTTTTTACCTTCATCTGCCTGTCTCTTCCTCCTTATCCACTCCCTCCCTATCTTTTCCTTTTCCCTTCCTACATACTCCTGCCTATTTCTTCTTTATCTTTCATTATCCGTTATTATCTATACATTCCTCTTTCTCTCTTCTCATCTGGAATTCCTGCTCTTTCTCCTTCTCTACCTTATTCCTCCTTTCTCTCTCTACACTTTTTTTCCTCTTCTCTTACCATCCCTTTGTTCTCCTTTTTCTACCTCCCAATGATTGACATAAAATGGGTTTCAGAATTGTTTAGTCAGTGGTTTTTTCATTATTCTTAAGATTCCATGAGTGAGTAGTAAGAGGTAGGCTAAGTAGAATAGGTCTTGCATCCCTTATTATTCTTATTACAGCCAGGATAACTCAGCTTCTATTTTTAGTTCATATTAGCATTTTAAGTCAGATTTCATTAAAAAAAAAAAAAAAGAGAGAGGTGTGTTCCTTTAAAAGTTTGAAAACCAAAATACATTATAAATTACTAATCAAGTATTATTTTGGGGACAATCAAAAGATTTCAGCCCTTGGGACATGGTGAGTGGTTTCAAGGCATGGCTGGAAACTAGGATTTATATCCAGCCATGCCTGAAGCACCATCACTTGGATTCTCCTGTTAAAGAAACAAATATATTTCCTTTTTAAAAATTCAGGTTGTACTCTCTGATTCAAATGTGTGTGTGTGGGGGGGGGCGGGGCAGTCGATGTGTAAAAATATTCCCTGCTTTGTTTTTTATAATTATTTTTAATAAAAACACTCGAGATATAATTCAAATACCAAACCATTCACATAAAATATATAATTTAACATCATTTAGTATACTCACAATTGGTGCAACTGTCATCACAATCAGTTATAGAACATTTCATCACCCTCAAAAATACCTATTAGCGGTCTCTCCCTGTTCCTCCCACAGTCCTAGGCAACCACTAATTTATTATCTGTCTATGGATTTGCCTATTTTGGACATTTCATGTAAATAGAATCACACAGTATATGGTCTTTTGTGACTAGTTTCTTTAACTTAGCATATTTTCAAGGTTTATGTTATTGCATACTTCATTTCTTTTTATTTCATTCTATAATCACACTACATATTATCTTTTCATCACTTGATGTACATTTGGGTTGTTTCTACTTTTCGACATGTGAATTATATGAACTATAAACATTCATGTATAAGCTTTCCTTTTTCTTGGGTGTATATCTAAGAATTGAGTTACTAGGACATCCAGAAACTCTATGTTTAACCATTTGAGGAACTGCCAGACTGTTTTCCAAAGTGGCTGCACTAGGCTACATGTTTACCACTGCAGAGTATTGAGGGTTCCAACTTCTCCACATCTTTGACAATACTTGTTATTATCTGACTTTTTGATTATAGGCATCCTAGCAAGTATGAAGTGATATATCGGTATGGTTTTGATCTACATTTCCCTAGTGTCTAATGATGTCAAGTGGTTTGTTTTTTTTTGTTTTTTTTTCATATCTTTATCGACCATTTGTATATCTTTGGATAAATGTTCACATTCTTTGCCTATGTTTTAAATGAATTATTTGTCTTTGTTAACTGAGTCTTAGGCATTCTTTACATATTAAAGAAGTAAGTCCCTTATCAAATACATGATTTGGAAATATTATCTCCTATCCTATGGGCTGGGCTGTCATTTTATTTTTTCTGTAGTGTCCTTTGAAACACAAACTTCTTTTGTTTTGAGTCCAATTTATTGCTTTTGTTTCTTTTGTGGTTTTGGTGTCATATCTAAAAATCCATTAACATATCTGAAGTTATGAAGATTTACCCCTATGTTTTCTTTTAAGAGTTTTATAAATTTAGCTCTTAAATTTAACTGTGTGATCCATTTGAGTTAATTTTTGTATTTGTTGTGTGGATAAGGACCATAGAAGCATGGGTTTATTTCTGGACTCTCAATTCTATTACATTTATTTGTATATTTATTTTTGTGCCAGTACCACATTGTCTTGGTTACCAACTTGTTTTGGAGTAAGTTTTGAAATCAGGAAGTATGCCTTTTTTTTTTTTTTTTTAAGATTATTTTGACTCTTCTGGGTCCCTTGCAATTCCATATGAATTTTAGAATCAGCTTGTTCATTTCTACAAAGAAGCCAATTCAGATTCTGGTAGGGGTTGTGTTAAAGCTATAGATCAATTTGGGAAGTATTGCCATTTTAACAGTATTGTTTCCATCCAAGAACATACATTTTTTTCTCTATTTATTTAGAACTTTACTTTTGTTCAACGGCGCTTTATAGTTTTTGGAGCTTAAGTTTTACACTTCTTTTGTTAAATTTACTCCTAAGTATTTTATTTTTTTAATGACATTTTAAATGGAATTGTTTTCTTAATTTTATCTTTGAATTGTTAATTATAAGTGTTTAGAAACAATTGATTTTTGTATATTGATCTTGTTTCCTGCAACCTTGCTAAACTTATTAGTTCTAAGAGTTTTTTAGTGGATTCTTTAGTTTCTTTCTATATGCAAGATTTTGTCATCTGTGAATAGAAAGTTTCACTTCCCTTTTAGCGTGGATGCTTTTTATTTCTTTTTCTTGTCTTATTGCCTTGGCTAGAACCTCTAGGACAGTGTTGAATAAACGTGGTGAGAGCAAACATCTTTGTCTTATTTCTCATCTTAGGAGAAAAGCATTCAATCTTATACCATTAAGTATGATATTAGCTGTGGCCTTTTTGTAGATGGCCTTTATCAGAGTGAGGACATTTCCTTCTATTCCTAGTATGCTGAGTGTTTTTATCATGAGAAAGTATTGGATTTTGTCAGATATTTTTTCTGCATCTATCGAGATAATCACGTCTTTTGTTTAATTCTATTATGCTGATGTGGTGTATTACATTAATTGATCTTTGGATAGTGAATCAACTTTGCACCCTGGGATAAATCCCACTTGGCCATGGTGTATAATTATTTTTATATATTGCAAGGTTCAGTTTGCTAATATTTTATGGAGGATTTTTTTTATTAATATTTATGAGCATTATTGATTTTAGTTTTGTTTGGTTTTGGAATCAGGGTAATACTGACTTCATAGAATGAATTGAGAAATGTTCTCTTCTGTTTTTTGGAAGAATTTATAAAGATTTGGTATTATTGATTCTCTTTAAATGTTCAGTAGAATTCACCACTGAAGCCATCTGGATCTGGGCTTTTTGTTTGTGGGTAGTTTTTGTTTTTGTTTTTTTTTATTACTGATTCAATATCTTTACCTGCTATACATTTATTCATATTGTCTATTTATTCTTTAGTCTATTTTGGTAGTTTCTCTTCCTAGGAATTTTTGTTTCATTTATGTTATCTAGTTTATTAGAATACAGTTGTTCCTAGTATTCCTTAATCATCATTTTTATTTATCTAAGGTTGATAGTAATGTCCCCTGTTTTATTTCTGATTTCTAGTAGTTTTTTTCTTTCTTATTTTTCAATTCAAATTGAAATTCAGTATTATTTTATAGTAGTTTCAGGTACACAGCATAGTAGCTAGACATATAATTAACAAAGTGATCCCCCGAATTAGTCTAGTTCCCACCTGGCACTGTACATGTTTATTACAATATTATTGACTATATACCTTATACTGTACTTTACATCCCTGTTACTATTTTGTAACTGCCAATTTGTACTTCTTTATCCCTTCATCTTTTGTACCCAGCTCCCAATCCCCCTCCCAATCTAACTAAAGTTTTGTTAATTTTGTTCATCTTTTCAGTGAATGAGCTTTTAGTTTTAATGACTTCTTCTATTATTTTTCTATTTTATAATAATGCCTTCATACTAATATAGATATATTTATTTTTAAATTAGTTTCTCATAATAGAAATTAAGATTTGTCAAGTATTTGAAAATGTTATCGGCGTATTTTTTTTGTTTGATCAGATTCTCAGATGCTTAACACTGGAAATGATTTGAAAGAAAGTGTCAAAAGTGAATCAGTGCTGCTTCCCAGTGAAAAGCATGATCTGAAGAAACAACACAGTATCACTCAAGCCACTCAGACAAGTCCAGGAGTTCCTTGGTCTTCGCAATCAGTTAACTTTCCTGAGTGCTCTTTTAACTTTACTAGGGAACAGGTAATGGAAAAACTAATGTATTCTCATTCAGTTTCAGCAATTAAAATAAATGTTAGATACTAAATAGTTAAAACGTTATTTATTTACGTATTTAAGTAATATTTTATTGAGTGCCTGTTTTGAGTCTCCACGCTTTGGTAGTTGTTATGGATAGAGTGTTGAGCAAGATAGGGACAGTCCAGCCTTCATGGGAGTCGTAGTCCAACAGAGAGATAGAGGAGCGGATGTGGGAGACTGCGGTTTCTGGAATCTAGGAAGGCTTCCTGGAGGATATATTTATTTTGCTGTCTTATTTTTAAGTTGCAAAAGTATTATATTTCCAAACATTGGAAAGATATTTTAAAACAACTTTAATACTCTCTGACCTCCTGTAGTGCTATCAGTATTTTTTTAATTTTCCTCTCATTTTTCTATAATTTTTCTAAACAGTTGTTATTCTTTTGTATATACTGTATTTTTTTACTTAACATTGTTTAACAAATATTTTTTCCATATTGCTACATATGCTTCATATTTATTTTTTAATAGCAGAGTAATATGGATGTAGATGTGCTGTCATTTCTAAACCTTCCTCTTAACATTTGTTAACATTTGAATTGCTTCTCTTTTTATTTTGCCATTATAAATGAATAAAATGTCCAACAGAAGTTTAATTCTCGATGGTAGAACTACAGAATGAGTTCATTGATCTCTTCAACAGGATTTGGTGGATGTCAGCTCTCTGAGCTAGGATATAGAATTGAACAGTATATACCATTCTTACCTACTGGTAAACTCTAAGTGTAATGAGAAAGACAGGAGTATGCAACTGGTAGTAACAAGATACTGTGTCAAGTGCCAAACTAGAGATTAGGGAAATATAGGGAAATACCCAGCTTGATTATAAGGCAGGAATTATTAAGCTGGGACTAAAAGAAGTCTGAAAATCCTTTGAAATTCAATGCATATATTTTAATGTATTTATGTAAATGTATTATTCTGGAAAGAAAGCCCTTAATTTTACCATATTTTCATAGTTAGGTTTAGGGAATAGTTCTAAGATGATAAAGTACTTGAAGTGAGTTAATGGTGGAAGGGGACACCTATTGTTCATCTAGATGAAAATGTCTTATGAGATATTCGGAATGTGGGTCTGAAGCTCAAGAGAGTGGTTTATGCTGGATCAGGCTATATATGTGATAGTTGGAACTGCAGGAGTAGACAAGATATCTAAGAGAGTGACTCAGATGGTAACAGAATCTAATAAAATATTAAAATTTAAGAGTTTTAAAATTTATTGGATATCATCAGTTAATAAAATTATATAGGTTTCAAATGTATAGTTCTATAATAACATCATCTGTATATTGTGTTGTGTGTTCACCACCCAAAGACAAATCTCCTTCCCACACTATACCCTACCTTTATCCCCTCTGTCCCTCTGGTAACTACTAAACTGTTGTTTGTGTCTGAGTTTTTGCTTGTTTGTCTTGTTCATTTGTTGCTTTCAGTTTTATGTCCTACATAAGAGTGAAATCATGGTTCTCAACTTTTTCTGTCTGACTTATTTTGCTTAGCATGATTATCTTAAGCATTCTTAAATACCAGAGGAAAAGATGAAAATTCCATACTTGGAGAAGGAATAAACATCAAAGAGCTGTGGCATAAAAGGCAAAAAAGGAGAGAGACAGGGAGGAGAGGCGAGGTCAGCAGTCTCTAAAGCCACAGAGAGGTCCAGGGAAATTAAAACTAAACTAAATCACTATTAGATTTGAAATTAGGGGTTAATTAGTGTTTTGAATTGCTGGGTCAAAACTTAACATTTTTAAGTGCTTGAAATGTGTTTATAAATAGCTTCTCAAAGCAGTTTTCAGCTTAAGTACACCCACATCAGCATTGGATATTTTTACTGTTTCAAGTGTCACACCTTTAGCTACTATATAAATTGTCCACATTTTATGAAATGATTAAATTCTCTTATTTTCCAAATTTATCATTTCAGCTCATGGAAGAGAATGAATCTCTTAAACAGGAATTGGCTAAAGCTAAAATGGCTCTTGCAGAGGCTCACTTGGAAAAAGATGCTCTTCTTCATCATATAAAGAAGATGACAGTCGACTAGCCGGAGTGTCAGTCAGAAACTCACATTAGAGCTCTGGGGTAGGGAGGTTTTGTTTATTATGTGATGTTACCAATTAGTGGAAGACTTTCCTTTTCATGAAAAGACAATAAAATGAAAGTGGTGACTATTCCGAAGCCAGTTTAGAAAGTATTAGGTACGGGCATTACAATCTTTTGGTTGTTTTGTGTTTTGGGGTTTTACCCTCTTTTAAATTGGTACGATATAAGGAAGTCAACACATACTGTAAAATAATTACATGTCTAATGAAAAGAAGATGTCATTTCCTAATTTTGGCATCACACTATAGGCATTTTTTAAAGAGAGAAATGAAAACCTATTGTGTTCCACAGATTGCTGAATTTATTGCTATCAGTAATTACTATTATTTACAAAGATTCAAATGCTTTTAGGGCTAATGTAAAAGAAAAGGAGGCTTACATTTTAAATGTTATAATGTACTTTATAATTATTTAAGTACTGTAAAAAAGTCCAATCAGATTGATGAATTATGTAATTACTGGTTTTGAAAATTCTGGAAAATGATCACTCAACTGAACTTATAAAGTAACTTGAAAACGTGAAAAAAAATCATTTTAAATGATGGGTAAACTGTATAAGTTGAAGCTATAGTTTTCACACACAAAAAAGATGGTACAAATATAAAAATAAAAAGCACAAACTGTATAAAAACAAAACATTAGAGTATATGGCCAACTGTTTTAAAAAGCATTACTTGTACATTTCTTGAAACATTTATTGTTAGAAGAATAATTTAACTAGCCTACTAAATTTGGCAGTGTTTATAAGAATTTTAATTAATACTATTTATACTATTTCTTTACTTTCATCTTTTCTCTATTTAAGGAAGGAAATGTTTTCAGAGAATTTTCTTTACACATACAAAAAAGTTTCATACCATTCTTGTAGTATTATATTAGATGGGTGTTTGCACATACTGAATTTATATAGCTAGTTTTGATTAAAGTTCTATGTGACATATATGCTATCTTCTATAATAAGAATAATTGGTAAATTTTGAATTCTATTTTCTAGAGGTTGTTAAGATTGAAGCCAACATGAGAGAATCTCAATCATACATTATGAAATAAAAGTTCATGAGTGTTTAAGAAACAGAAGCTTTTAAAGATTTAAAATATATTTCTGATAGAATTAAATTTAGTGGGGTCTCGTTTAAAATTCACATTCTTAAACATAAATATATTAAGATAGAACATGAAACAACTGGAATACTTTTTCTTTAAGATACTTGAAAATCGTAAGCCACATTATGACACTTTATGGTGCTTTGTTGGCATGACTGATACAGCCATCCTTATGTCTGAATAGCTGGAGGAAAATACATTTTTCATTTACTTAAGTGTTGGAGTGACTTGGATTTTATTGAGAAAAGTACTGACCTTTTTTCCTCTCTTCTATAACACCCATTTTCATTGACATTATTTAAAAATACAGGTCCTGTTTTGGGAGCTGAGGATACAGCAAAGAACAAATTAAATTATTATTTTACCTCAGAGTATTTTAAAAATCATGTTAAACCCTGTTAATATAAACTATATAATAGTCTTAGATTAAAAGCAAAGGTCTAAAGATTTAAAATGTATAGTTAATATTCTTAGTAGAGTACTTTTGATTTGTAGGTATATAGTCAACAAAAGCAGTTTCTCATGTAGACAAACAGATTTGATAGGACATTAACTTCTTCAGAGCCTGACAGTGTTTCTCAGGATTGACCTGTTTGCTCTATATAAATTTTAAATATATGGAATAATTGGTTAGTGCTATAGAAGCGGAATGTTTTCCTTATTCCTTTCCAATTTATTTGGCCTTCCGAAGAAAATCATATGTACAGTAGAGATGACAATATGGATCTGAGCATTCTATATGCTTTGTTGGAATTTTAAAAATTTATAGTGAGTACTATTTTTATAGAGATTGAAAATTAATAAAACACTGGCAAAAACACTATCTCATGTAATTCCCACAACAAACCTGCAAGATAGGTATTAACTCACATTTTAAAAGTTGAATAAAAACCCTAGGCTCAGAAAGAACAAGTGACTTGACTGAAATCACAATTAATAACCCACTCTTTTGACTTAAATCTCAATTACATGCTTTTTTCCACTTTAGTTATTAATGCACAGATTTTGCCAGGAGAGGGGAGAAGAATCACTGTAATGTTACCGATCAGGGGAAGGAAATGATAATCATGTTTTGCATTTTAATTTCATGTATGTCAGAAGCATTTTCTTGATATCTTGTATTTTTTCTTTTCTCATTTAATCGAAGAATTTCAGAAAACCGCCATATGACACGTTATGATGAAGCATTATTTTTATTTAAGTCATGTGAGAATGGCTGTGTATAACTGCAGACAAATATATGTGGAAAAATTAATCAGGAACTTCTCTCTGGGTTTTTATTGTAGTTATTGTTATTTAGTAACTTCTTCTTTTATAAGTTTTTATTAACCTCCAGTCTGTTCAAGGCATCTTCCTATTTCAATGAATGGCAACACCATCACCCTGGTTCCCAAACTAGTAACCTAGAATTCATCTTAGACACCTTCCTCTCTCTGACTTTCTCGCCCCGTGCTCACCGATTCATTACCAGGTCCTGTCATTTTACCTTGTAAACATCTCTCAAATTTATGTGCTTCTCTCCACTTTTCACCCCCTTTTTATCTGAGCTACCATCAGCACCTTTGGCCTGCATTACTGGAATTGCCTCCTGACTAGTCTTCCTATAGCTACTCTGGACTTCCTCATATCCAATCTCTATATGCAGGCAGAGTTCTTTTTTTTTGAAGTGCATTTTTAATCGAGGCAACCCATCTACCCCATTCTCACCCCTAGCTTAAAACACTTTGATGACTTTTCATTGCTCTTAAAACGAAAACCAAATATTTTATGTGACCTATGAGGCCATATATATTATGTCCATCATTTATTTTATAGGGTAACTGAGCATTAAAAGAGTTAATGTCTCAAAACATTAAAACTGTGGCTGGCACATCACCTAAAAAGCACTGAATAGAAGTTAGTTATTACTACTGCTTTTTCAGCCTCATTGTGTACCATTTTTCAGTTACTTTCTGTTCTATTTTCATTGCACTTTAAGTATCTGGAATAAGTGAGAATAAAGTGCTTTTTCCATATTGGGATCTTAGTTCATGCTATTCCTTTGGCTTGAAATACCTTTCCCTGTTCATTGTCTAGTTAATTTCTATTTGTCTTTCAGTTAGGTCATTTCATCGCTTCCTCAGGGAAGGATTCCTTAATACCTGTCACAAAGCAAGACTGCTGTTACAGATTATCGCTTAGACACATACCTCTACTTAGCATTGAACACCTTCGTAATTTTATATGTATTGGATTAATGTAAACTCTCTAGATTGTAAACTCCATGAGGACAGGAATTGTGTTTTTGTTGTCATTGTTCACTTTGTATTCCTTATGCCTCACACAGTGCCTGGCACATAGTAGGTACTCAATTTGTTGAAAGAATAAAATGAATGAATGAGGTATCGGGGATGTTTTCAGGTATTGTGTTCTTCCTCTCATTTGGATTGAGGGGAGATGGAACATAGGCAGAAAAGTAGGTGGTGGTAGCTATTAAAAGGTGCAGACTCCTTGAGTCAACTCCTTGAGGTAAAGAATGGAGAAATTTGCCATACTGTGTTCTTTAGAATTTTGAATATCTGAGCTTCTAATTAACAAACCATCACAAAACAAAATTCGCATATCACTTCATAAAACTACTGCAGTGCCAGGGTGTCATCTGGCTTTGATTGTAGCATATGGTGTTGTGGCTATCAAGATCTGCCAGTCCTATCAGCTAAACGAAATGGAAATAAGGCCAAAAGAGTAGTCGCTGAAAGTTTTCGATTTTGATACACAGAATCTGTTGTGCCTGCTTCCTTAAAGTGCAAACAGTCTCATTTTAGCTTATACTAGAGGTGCTAAGGAAAGTAAATTTTGAATACGTTTTCATTTCCTTTTAGAATATATAAAATACCGAATACATAAAATAAAATACTGAAATTGCACAGGCTATAGAAACACTAAAGCAGTAATGTTTTTAAAACACTAATTTCTTCATTAAATTATAAATCTTTATAATTTTTTAAAAAAACTGTTGCTGCTTTTTTGAGAAGTGCAAAAATTAAAGTACCATGAAACAAAAATGCAAGCATGATGGTTTTTATAAACCATTAGATGTTACCTAATGAATCACAAAGTGGAGTGAAATTCATGTTAATGTTACAGTATTGAAATTCAGCATGTGCATTGCCAACAATACTGTGTAGTCTTGGCAGGTTTGAGAACTTGAAACTTTTTAAAGAAAAATTTTAAGAAATATGAAATTAACTTAATGTCTTTTATATATTAATAAAACATGTATGATAACTTTTTTGGTCTTAGAAAAATAAGGTGTTACTGGATCACCAAGAAGAGTATTCTGGGTTTTAAAGATTCTGAAAAAGGTAATACTATAACTTATAAATTGGATTTTATTTTCAGTTTTTTATGTCATTAGTCAAAACTCAATTCATTCTTTATACTAAATGGATTGAATAGTAAGTAAAATTTCCTTCTTAACTAAATTCTAGAAGAAATATTTGTTTTGGTGAAGAAATACTTGAGCGTAATGAGGTTGGGAGCTTACAATATTTTTCTTGTGACCATTTAGCGAATTGTTTGGTTGATATGACAAAAAATAAAAAAAGAACTCAAATACTGAATTACAGATGTCGTCAAGAATAAGTGAGAATTTTTTTGAAGACATAGGCACATAAAGGTTTAAATAGAGATCAGAAGAATCCCTAAAGAATATGGGTGAAATAAATGTATATGGATGTGATCAAAGTCTATCTTTCACAGTATTTAAAATCACTCCAATTAAAATAGATTAACAGTAAAATCAGAACAGGAGCTTTTAAAAAATAACCACAGTGAACAAATTCAGTATAAAGAAATGTGTTTGACAAAATTCCAATAATTAAGCACTTGAGAAAGATCTATGATAAAGAATTCACTAAATGTATCCTGAATTAAAACCTAAAGCAAAAAAAAAAAAAAAAATAGATACAGCTAGATATTCTTCAATTTAATGTGCAAAACTTGGGACATGTAGAAGTTTTTCAATAAATAATATGCCCACAAAAGTATATCTATTGGAATCTTAAGATTTGACATTGATAAGTCACTCATTGCTATTGGAGATATTTTATTAGTGTAGCGATGATGTGGCATCTTAGCATTTTGTCTGAATTCACTATATTAACTTCATAATTCCTATTAGCATAATTACCATAAGTGGTATAATCATTTGGTGCTTTCTTCTCTCTGGTTTATTTTTACTTTCTCCATTCCTTGCAGTCAAAAAAGAAATTTCCATAGAAAACATTAGAGCTACAAAGGCAAAAGTGTTCTGAAGAGGGATACGGAATGCACAAATTAAGCAACTTTTTTATATCCTATTTCTATAAATTTTCAGAATTGAAGACATTCTTATACTATCAATATAAAAACATGCCAAGGCCAAGAATATCTTTATTAAAAGTGGTAGGTTTTTCTGCATTAGCATATTTGAGAATTACTGTAATTACGTATATAAGCCTTTCTTATAATCTTAGTGGGAGTCTAGTTCATACTTTGTAATTTTTACCTGTCTTTAATAAGTCCTCTCCCCCCTTTTTTGCCTTGAGAATTCAGTTTCCTGTCAATATATTTTGCTGAGTAGCCTTTAGCTCTTTTGATCCATTTTTGTAGTTCTGTTAATATGTCCAGAGGCTATTATAGTGTGACCAATTTTAGAAATTGAAGCACAAATGATATAAAATATATACTGCGAAGTCCCTTTTGCCTTGTAAAACCGCAGTGTTCTGGGGAGGGAGGTGAATTTTTGGGCACCATTATTCCACTTATCATGACCTTCTTGTACTCTTAGTTCCATTTTTTATTTCTTTTTAGCATACTTGCTTTATCCAGTTAGTCCTAAAATATCTCCTTAATATATCTTGTGAGCATTCTAAGTATTTTTTTGTTGTTAAGGTTAGTCTCATTATTTCCTAATTACAAAAATTGGCATAATTTTTCTTCTTATACCATGAACATTGCCCCATGTCTCTTTGAGTTCTTCATAAATATACTCTTAATTATTACATACTATTTTATTGAGTAGATAAGCTAAAATTTAACTCTATTATTATTAATTTTTTTTATTTTCCCAGTGTTTTACTATTGTAAATAACCGTAATGAACATTTTTGTGCCAAAAGATTGTCTACATAAAGAATTATTTTCTAAGGATTCCCAAAAGTAGAGTAATTACATCAAAAGCCATGAATTTCCTATAATTTAAACTACTTTCCAAAAGGCTTCAACCAAGTTTGTATCAGAAGCACTGCCACTAGTAGTCAGTATCATCATTAATAACAAAGTGAACAGAATTTGAAATGAAAAGACATTAGGCAATAACTCGAAGTCATATGAAGTAAAAATATCAGTATAGGTAAATATATAAGAGTATTATTATAACGATGTTGTGTAACTACTTATTTCTACAATATTTAAAGAACTAATACATTTATTTTTTTAATATTTTTATTTTTCAGTTACAGTTAACATACAAAGTTAGTTTCAGGTGTACAACACAGTGATTAGACATTTATATAACTTCCAAAGTGATCACTCTGTTAAATTCAGTACTGGTCTGACATCATACATAGTTATTACAATACTACTGACTATATTCCCCATGCTATACTCTACATTCCGATGACTATTTTGTAACTACCAATATGTACCTCTTAATCCCCTCCCCCTTCACCATCCCCTAATCTCCGTCCGCAATCTAACAACCATCAAAATGCTCTCTGTATCTTGTTTTGTTTTGTTCGTTCATTTATCCTATTCTCTAGATTTCACATGTAAGTGAAGTTATATGACATTTATTTATTTTTTATTAAGTTTATTGGGGTAACATTGGTTAATACAATTATATAATTTTCAGGTGTACATTATAATTTGACAGCTATATATTCTATTGTGTGATTGCCACCCAAAGTCCAGTTTCCTTCAGCTACCATATATTTGATCCCCTTTACCCACTTGGCCATCCCCCTACCCCCTATATTTGACCCCTTTTACCCCATTCACCTCTCCCCTCCTCCCCCACCCCCTACCCTCTGGTAACCACTAATCCATTGTCCATGTCACTGAGTCTCTGTTTATGACATTTGCTTTTGTCTGCTACTCCACTTAGCACAACTTCTAGGTCTATCCATGTTATTGCAGATGGCAAGATTTCGTTTTTTTATGGCTGAGTAATATTCCATTGTGTGTATATATATCACCTCCTCTTTATCTGTTCATCCATTGATGGACACCCAGGTTGCTTCCATATTTTGGCTATTGTAAATGATACACCAATGAACACGTGGATGCACATGTCCCTTCAAAGTAGTATTTTGGATAAATGCCCATAAATGAGATTACTGGATCCTTCTTTGACTCTTGTTATAGCCTTTATTTTCAAGTCTTTATGCATAAGAATGCATAAAATGCCTGGTGGAGTGTTCAGCCGCTGTGATCTCACATCCACATTAGCAAACAAAATCCCTGCAGATAACTCTCTTTCTTAGACAAAGTTAAGAACCATCTATTGTTACTTGAGCACATCTCGTGTGTGTGTGTGTGTGTGTGTGTGTGTGATGGTGAAGATATGGCAGATTTTAGCTCCTTCCGTAAGTGTCTTGGAAAAATAACAAGGAGAGAATGAGTATAGATAAAAAGCAAAAGAGATTTAAAGACAGCTCTTTGCCACTCCGTGTTCAGAGGTCAGAGAGGTGAGGAAGAATCAGGACAATAGATCAAGAAACAGAGATAGGAGGAAAATCATGAGGCCTTGAAAAGCAAGTGAAGAAATTGCTTAAGAAGGAGGAAATGGCTGGCTATGTTAAATGCTGCTCAAAGTTCAAAAAGATGAAGAGTGAAAATTCACAGCTAGATTTAACAATATGAACATGATTAGTGACTGAAAACAGTTTCAATGGAGTAGTTGAAATGGGGCACAGGAGAGAATAAATGATGAAAAATTGGAGAGAATGAACATAAAAACACTTTCAGAAGGTTTTACATTAAAAGGTAAGCTAACCATATAATTTACAATCCAAACTGGAACACATTTGAAAAGGGCACCATTAATAATTAAGCCAAAATTTAATTCATTAATTGATCACGTAAAAGCTGGAACTGCCACAACAAAGAAATGATATTTTATGAAGGAAAGGAGAGAAGAGCCTATGACTGAAAGGGAAGTGGAATAAAGTGTTGGTTAGTTTTTTTTAAGAAGGGAGAAATAACAGGTAATAGGAATGATTTGGTAGAGAGGGAAATTTTTATGACAGGAGAAAAGACATTTTTGGAGCAAGGTCTCTGAGTAGGCAAAAAGGGATAGTATATAATGCACAAGTGGAATGGCTGGTTTTAGCCAGGATCACAGATAGAATGCAAAGAATT